CAAGAAGGAAAAAATAATAAGGCATGGCCGCTTAGAACTTCCGTATTTATTTCACTTACCTAAAAAAAATTGAATTTATATTTTATTTTATTTTATTTTATTTTAACACTTTTATTTCACTTGCCTAAAAAATAATTAATTTTGATTTTATTTTGTTTTATTTCACTTACCTAAAAATAAGTACATTTTTATTTTATTCATTTTTATTTGTTTATTTGTTTATTTATTTATTTATTGCACTTTGATTCAAATAAAAAAGTATTTGAAAATCTGAAAATTTCTCTATTGAGAAAAAATAGATTTTTATTAAGCCAAATATTGCACTCTGTTACTCCAAAATGTTGGAGCCTTCCTTGTATTGTATGTTTTACAGCATCACCTATTTAAACTAAACAAAGCCTCTTTATAGATTGTAGCAGCGTCGGGCAGCTCTCTTTGCGTTATGTTGAACCACAAACACCCGCAGCAGTGTTTGCTTCACAGATGAACACAGGCTTTCTCAATAACCACAAGCCTCCTGACAGTAAACTCTGATTTAAATCTGAATGCATTGTAAAGGCTGGTTTGTCCTCTCCAGGGTCTGTTTGTTGGGCAACCGCACCCTGCAGAACCACGGCTTTGACAAGTGCATGAAGACAGAAATAATAGACAACGTGACCGTGACCACGAAGCTTTGGTCTCTGTTCTGTAAAGGTCCGGAGCTCAACGCCAGCTGCAATGAATACTTCAGCCTCAATAACGTCACGGAGATCCAGGGCATTCCCGGCCTCACCAGCGGAGTCATTTCAGGTGAGAGCAGTAACTGAAGGCAACATTTACCCTCTGTACTTTATTATATAAACATAATCTTCAATAACCTGTGAAATAAGTCACGTTATGGAAGTGGAATAGGTTGCACATGCCGTTTTGTGTTCATTTTAACTTCAGCTTGCTTGTACTGTTGGTCACTTTGGGAAGAAGTGTCTTCTAAATGATTATTCACTGTTTAAACTTATTTAGACGTGTGTGTAACTTTTATATGATGCGATGATGCCTTTGGACCTTGTCAATAAATATAAAGGCAGCTGTATATTTTCATGTATAAAAATACATTTTATTGTCTGAGAAAAATATAAAATGTGATATAAAGACAAAAAATGAAATAATTGTTTCCAAAATTAAATTATGCATCCACTTACCTAAAGTAAATATGTATTTAATTTAGATTTTCATTATACTAAAACAAGTTAAAATATTATCTTTTTATTAAGTTGACAGCATATCTGAGATATTTTTATTTTAGAAACATATAAAAGAAAAGAATGAAAAAAATATGGGGGAAAAAACTATTAATGGCATGATTTCTGACTAGTCTTAAAAAAAATAGATTGAAGTTAATTTATGAATTTAGTCAATGTAAAACATACATTTAAACATATTTCATTCATATCTGAAGTGTAAACTACCAGATTAATAGATTAACTTTGAAAGCCATAAAAATACATTTTGTTAAAAAATCTCTACAATTTTTCACATTTCATATTATTTTTTTTTAAATGAGTATTTTTTGTTTGTTTGTTTTTAGATTGCCATTATTCTAAAACAAATTCTTAAAATCTGGAAATCATTTACTTTTAATTAAGTTTACAGCATATCTGAGATTTTCATTTTAGAAACAAAAATATTATGGGAAAAATAACAAAACAAAAATATTGCAAATAATGCTACATTTACTCAATGTGAAAAAAAATGAGATCGTGAATATGAGGCAGATGCTGAATGTACTGTGGAAGTGCGCTCTGACGATGACAGCGATGGTAAAATCATCTGCTCAAATTGAACCCTTTTAAGTTTCAAAATGAAACGAAATATGCTTTATTTTATTCTTCTGTAATTGTTCTTAAAATATCAAGAGAGTTTTTTGCTATTGCAGCAGTTAGAGATCCATCCGTGCTGGATATATAGGTCCGGGTCGCTAAAGACCCGAATATGAAATAATGATTGGCGAAACATTCATGCATTTAAGGGTTAAATTTATTTCCCCATTAATTTCTTTCCCTGGTAATGGTAAATTAATATTGTGATAAATATAGATACCGTATGATAAAAATTATATTGTGATAATATTTTGTCCATACCGCCCAGCCCTGTACTGAAGTGTAATCTGTTTTTCTGAGTACATCTAATAAATTTCCATGAGTGTAATTCCATGTTTTCAGACTGATGTGAATTTGATTAATTTGGTTTCTCAAATACAGATACTATTGAACCAAATGGCTAGAAATGAGAGCTTATCTCATTGAAATGAGTGCGTCTGTCAGCACATCTTGAGCTGTTCTTTGATTTGCACAGAGAACTTGTGGGGAAGCTACGGTCCCGCTGGCATGCTGGTGGAGAAGGCCATACCGTCGGTGCCGGCGAGCGACGCGTCTCAGGACAAACACATGCCGTACGTCGTCAATGACATCACTGCCTTCTTCACGCTGCTGGTGGGAATCTACTTCCCCTCCGTCACGGGTACCGTCACATCCATTACTCTCACTCTCGTCTCTTTGCTGTTCACTTTAAACTAAACTAGTTTGATCTGGGGGTGATCTGTGTTATCTAGTGCTCTCAGATTCACGTCGAGCTCAGCGGGACGCGTGTGAACTCCCTGCAAACACAGCGATAGCGTTTCAGGACCTTAGTGTAACAACATGGACTGAGCTTTTGGAAGAGCCCTTCATGTTTGACTTGAGCTTTAGAGCTGGGGGATGTAATCAATATATACCTCAATAGGAGCATTTTACTTAAACAGTCGTTTGAGTTGAATTGTGACCCTGGACCACAAAACCAGTCTTAAGTGACAATTTTTGATACTTTCGAGATTTACATCATCTGAAAGCTTTGTTAGGATCGGACAATATTTGGCCGAGATACAACTATTTGAAAATCTGGAATCTGAGGGTGCAAAGAAATCAAAATATTGAGAAAATCGTGTGCTCAAGGGTCACAACTGAGAAGTGTTTGATAGAAAATACAGAAATCATCTAGCTAAAATAATCAGCATTTTCCACTAAATGAATATAAGGAATTTTGTTTATATACATTTTATTACCATTTTCTAAACTATAGTGAATAAACTGTGATAATGTTTGACTGTATGTGTTTAACAATGTAAAACAGCAATACAGTAAATACTTACTACATTAAATATATATTATATAATATATACCTATATACCTGCAGTATATATTATATAATATCTATATTTTACAAAAAAAAAGTTAATTTCGTTAAAAACTCATTCAGTGAACATTTTTGAATTGTTTCTTTAAACTGGTTTGAACTGGAAATTAACAGAAATGTATTGAACTCACCAACTCTAAGCAGTGTTATTTTTGAATTATTTATAGTATTATAGTATACATTATAGTATTATTATTTTAATTATTTAATTATTTTAATTTATTTTCTTTTTTAATTAATATTTTTTAATTAGCTTTTATTTTTATATTTTCAGATTTTATTTAAAATTTAGTTTAAGTTTTAGTAGTTTTTTTTTTTTTTTTCATTTTTAGCTTAAATTTTTTTTTATTTTTTTTTTTAGTTTTAGTAATTTCCGAGCTTCAACTTATTTCAGTTAGTCATTAAAGTTTAGGTTTGTCATCTCATATTTATATTTTAGTTCAGCTTTTAATAGTCTCGGTTTTATTTTACAATAAATAAAAGTGAATTCTGAATGTTTGTAATGTATCACTCAACATATTATTCAGTAGTTCAGATTTTTTTCTGAACTACTTTTTTCTTATTTTTGAATGATAAGAATTTTATTTCAGCTTCTTAAAAACACTCTCATGTAGTTCCTCGGTCCTCCTCTGTTGTGCAGGCATCATGGCTGGATCCAACAGATCCGGGGATCTGAGAGACGCTCAGAGGTCCATTCCCATCGGCACCATCCTCGCCATCGCAACCACCACCATCATCTGTATCCTTAGTCTAGACCTGCCTAACACGTTATATCTTTAACCATGTATTGGGATCATAATCAAATCAATACTAAAATGCTGAAACTCAATGACTGAAGCATTAGTGTTGTGTCTGTAGAGTAGAGATGCTGTTAGTCTTCTCTGGTTTTCTTAGCAGTGTAACTCAGATCTGTCGTGCGTGGTGGTGTTCGGCGCCTGCATCGAGGGTGTGGTGCTCCGAGACAAGTGAGCGCTTTCTGCTTCTCCTTTCCCACTCATAATATCTTCATTTTCCTGGATAAACATACAGGAAATCTACTTTAAACAACGGCTGATTTCTGTGCGAAGCCTGTTTGTGAGCAGCTCTGCACTGCGGTCAATGAACTCTTTATACAGTATGCAATATCTCAAGATTATATCACAGGAAAATGCTTGTGTCTGTTCCAAAACCTAGTGTGCTACCTACCTAGACAGCGTTTAGATGTTCCAAAGATGCACAGATACACTGTAAAAAAAAAAAAAAAAGTTGAAACTAAATAAAGGTTATTGGAGTGAATTTTGCAAGACAATACTATTTCAGTCTTTCTACGTCAAAATTTCATGTTTAATTCAATGTGTTACTTGCTGTTTCTTTGCAATTATTTGTGAAATTTACTAGCAATTTCTGAGTAAAAATTGTTTAAAAGTAAAAAAAAAAAAAACCTGAAATATTTTTATACTTCATTCAATACTGCTAGGTGTCAGTGGATTAAATTAGAAATATTTTTGTTTACCTATATTTTATTTCAGCTTTATTTCAATTA